TGTATCGCTGTGGTAAGTCATCTAGATGATGGATACACTTTTGGGTGATGTTCTACAATTGATTTATACAACTTTCCCCTTGATTGCTTTTTCACCGATTTTTGACGGCTGTTGCGCTATTTTATAGTAATCGGGAGTTTTAGGATATTCTCTGCACCTATCATCATTGTTGGAGACTCGGGTGACTCTATTTTACTAGTGAATGGGGTAGTTCGTCATTTCATTCGTAGGTAACACTATAGTAGGAGTGTCAGTTTTGTGATTGGCGATTAGTCCATGAAAGGTATCAGTGACTGGCACATTGCTATTATCACTAGTTGAGGTAGGGGCGTAAACACTGCAGAGTATTGGTTCATCTCGGGTGCAAGCGTTTGTCTGTCTCTGCAAATAACCTTTGTGAAGACGTTTTATCCGCAACAATTTTCAGGGTCTTGAGTTTAGTGTTGGCAACAAAGCGATCACTTTTGATAAACTCCCTGGCTGTTAATGCATCGTGAAATTTAATTAAGATCAAACATGTTTGACCCATTCTCTTTCCAGCCTTATGAAACTACCCTCCGTACCAACCATATTTCTCGCCTTAAATAAAATATTTCGTAAGGCAACGAGCAGAATATTGTCAAGCACATTAAAGACCACTGCGTTATTGAAGCAACAGATCTTGTTGACTACTTCTGCGACGATCGAATCGATTATCGCACTTGGAGGTATCAGGCGTACAACTTTAGGATACGTCTTCATTTGCATTAGAGTAATTATAAACTCTATTGTTAGCTAACAGACAGGGTTATCGATGGACTACTTAAATCTCAGTGGTTCCGATTTTGTCGGAAGTTTCCGGACTGTAGCACAAGCTCTTGTGCATCGCACAAGGTCGCGTTGACCCCACCGAAGTCTCGCCGTATTCGGCAATCTAAGCGTCGTGTACTTTCCACGCCACTAGCAAAGCGAATAAAACTCGAGGTTCCAAAGAAAAAGCGAATCTGTTCCTCTGCAAATAATAAACTCACTTCAAAATTAAATGATAGATTATTCTCTTTGGAATCACGACTTACTGAGATGAAAAGACGCTGGCACTCTTTAAACCCCTTAAAGATCACCTGATTTCACTTAGTTACATCAGTAACCCATTGGAATGGACTGATCTTGTTCCAGTGGGAAAAGTAGGGCAGCTAATTGCCTCTTTTGCCTCCGAAGTACACGAACGAATCTGTAGAGCAAAAATATGATTGTTTTAACCTTCCAAACAGTTTGGGTCTGGATAAAATAAAATTAACGATACTGTAAGCTTGTAACATGCCTGATGTCGACGACGATAAGTGCCAATGTTTGAAAAAGGAAACACCGAAACATTGTGGCCCGATCATCTCAAATTTTTAAGCGAGGAAGCCGCGCAGTGATTCCTGCATTGTGGACCCACCGTTACCCTGCACACCCAGTTTAATGACATTTTGCTCAAACCAGATAGTACACCCTTACAAAAGTCTGCAATGGACACTGATCTGCGAACACCGGAAAATATGACTGGGCTCATTAAGCAATCTCAGTCGAACATCCAAAAGATGAGTATATCCAATGTGGATACTTGCTGCATTGATTTGGACATCGATAATTCATCAGCATTGTCAACTAGCTCCTAAGCCATCCTTCCTTGCTCCACTGAACGCCTTCAGAGCTACGAACGGATAAAGGGGGTTCTCCCATTCCTGACAATGACGCTGCCATTAAATTGTACTCCTCATGCATAAGGAGTCTAAGTGCTCGGAACACTGGTGCAATGACAACTCGTTGCTTATGTCACACTCCGGTCTCAACGACCAAGGCACGTCCAACGATAGACAGCCTGATGTAATCCATAGCACACTGTCGCCCACGGACGACTTAAACAATCCAAGGACCATTGACCTCAAATGGCGTATGACTACGAAATGCTCCTTTGCATCCAAACCTCGCTATCGACCAGCCTCCTACAACCACCAGGGAAAACAACCTCCCTTGTTGAATACGGACAATAACAACTGTCTCTTGGCTGTCCCTAGTTGTCATCCCACACTCCACAACAATCACTGGAAGCGTATAAGTAACGGAAGGACATCGGTCAATAGAACAATGCTACCCCCGCTCCACTCCAATTTCATTCCACCTCTCACGCGACTTCTTCCAACAACCCATTTTTACTGGTGACGGGAATGGACTCACAATCATTCCCGCCTCGGATACATCTGTCGAAGATCGGCATTTTGACCCCACTCTTCCCCTAATTTGTCCAGATCACAAAGGTAGTCCAGTGTCAGGCCAACGGCAATCTAAGCATGATGCTTCGGTTCCCTTTGTGTCTCGACATTCAAACATGACACGCTGCACCTATCAACAAACATTCCAATGTCCAACACGGGTGCACCACTCTTGCACTTACCTACCATATGTACTATGCTCGAACCCAAACACTCAGGCGCTTATGCAACAGACTGCAGGAATTCCCCAATACATGGTATATTTTCAGTGATACTGCTTATTGCCAGATCCATGATCGACGAATTTCATTTTGTAAACACACTTGCATAATTCACTGACCCGCAAGCGATCCTCGTCACTGAAACATTGTGTTCCTCTAATACACTGGACACTACTCTGATAATTCAGCTAACTTCCTGCACCACCCACTGGACGCCTATCGATAACAGTCCCTTATGAGGTCACGCTATCCCGTTTCGCTTGCGGCGTTCGACGTTCGCACTCTAAGACAAATAGGTCAACCGGCTGCACTCGCACGCACCTTAGACGCACTGGATATTGACGTGCGTTGTGTGGTGGTGGTGGTGGTGGTGATGATGAGGATGTGGATTAGGATGGATACTGGTTGGAAGCAGGATGGGGGCTATCTCTGTATAGCTGCATCTTGTATCATTCAGATACAAAACCCGTTATATTGGGATCCGCTCGATATATTTTATATCGCCAAAGTGTTTGTCCCAAAATCTCTGGAATCTGGAGACTGAATTTGTCTCAGCTACGTGCTGCGGAAGGTCGTTCCATACATTCACCACTCTTCCTTCGAAACAGAGTTGGTGAGCGACCTGCTTCAAACCTGGTACGACAAGCTTGTACCGGTGTCCTCGTGTGCTGCTTGGTGTGCGCAGCTGAAGCAGCGACCTCAACATGGGGTAGTCACCGCGATGTAGTTTCCGGTGTGTCATGATGAGGCCAACCCACAATCGACAGTTAGATAGGGTGTAAACTCCTAGTCTCTTACACCGGCCTTCGTACTGCATAGGTCGTAAATTGGGGATCAACCTTGTGGCCACATGCTGTACCCCGCTCATTCCTTTCTACCTCGCCCCGGGTGATAGGACAGTACGCGGGAGAGCCATGCTCTAACATTGGTCGTCTTATTTAGACGAAGAGGCGAGTGACAATCTCTTCGGATCAAATGCTGAAGCTGCGTTTGGGCACCCAAAGCAAATGAAGGCCGTTTCGGTAAGACGTATTCGTATTGTCTATGGATTTTAGGTCGCAGTGTGAGAGTACACCGAGGCTTCTCACGAAACGCGCGGAATTTAACGGTTGACTGACCACAATGTAGGTTCGACTGATCACACTTACTCAACCTCAGAAATTGCGACTTGACCGGGTTGATCGGAAGGTTGACCTCCCCAGACCACATGGAAAGGCGGTCGAGATCCCGCTGAAGCAGGTCACAGTCATTAGGTGCGTGGCTTACTCTCCACATCTTCAGGTTATCTGCAAATAACGCGTAAGGCGAGCGGAGAAGCTGAGGCACATCGTTTATGTTGATCAGGACCCTAATACAGTGCCTTAAGGTGTGTCACTGCTCAAGTGATACCAGTCGGTCAGATTGTTGTCAACCTGAACCCTCCACTCTCGACCACCAAGGCAATTCCTGATTCGTCGATGCAGCGAGGCGCCAACACCGCACACCCTCAGCTTCTAGAGGTGCACCTCATGACTCGACTGACTTGCCTTGGTTAAGCACTTGCAACCATTCGTGCCTCATCAACAGCAACTTGGTGATGCATGAGTGACCTTTCACGAAACCATGCTGTGCGGTCGTAAAGAGACTTTTCGACTCGAGAAGCTGCAGTAGACTCTTCTTCACTAGCTTCTCAAGCGTCTTTGCCAAAACAGCGGTCGGGCATATCGGCGGGTGGTTATCCACTTTGCTTGCGTCACCACTTTTCGGTATTGGCTTTACGACTGAGCATTTCCAGTCGCCCGGTAACAAAGCAGTGGGTATTTGTAAGTAGTAGGGGGATTTATTAGGTTTTTGTGTAGTTTCGTCGCAGTTAGACACAGGCAGACAGCCACCACACATCCAGGAAAGCGCTAGACGGCCGTTTCGTCCTATTGGGACTCGTCAGTAGCGCGCACCCGCCGAATCCTGCCGGATTCGAACCCACGACCTTACTCTTGCGAGTCAGTGACTTATGTCACTGAGCCATGGGCGACGGCGGCGGACCGCCATGACTGATATCTAACTGCGATATAGCGCGGCTCATCCTCCACTGTCTTGCATGTTGTGTGTGCAGAGGACAGGGCTGGCCCCCAGAGCAAAGGACGTCGTTGCTCTGGGGGCAAGCCCTGTCCTCTGCACACTCACAACATACAAGACAGTGGAGGATGAGCCGCGCTATATCGCAGTTAGATATCAGTTATGGCGGTCCGCCGCCGTCGCCCATGGCTCAGTGACATAAGTCGCATTCTTCAACCAGTCGTCCATCGAATGATGGGCATCATTTCATCCACATCAGCTGTTAACCTTGTTAGCACCCTTTTCACTCCTTACTATTGTCCCAAAAACCTTTGATAGTTACAGTAATCTTCAAATCAACTTTGGTCGACATCCAACTCACGATGCTGTTAATGCGCACCCGGACGGTTTTTCCTTTGCGGTATTGATTTCATTTTCTGGCCCTTCATGACCGCTTTGACACTCTTTTAGATTTATTCTGTTTGCATACACCTTGTTCTGTCGCCTACAGACGACCGCCGCTGAAGAAAACGTTTTGGACTCGTTCACACCTCTCGACTCCATAGTTAGCAATATTCGACCCCATGACAGCTTGAGTCATTCGTGCCTTCCTAAGAACCCTGTAAGTCAGCAACTTCCGGCTCACACGGTTAACTCACAATCGGAATACACTTGGCGCGTTGATCTTATGAAGACGCAACCTTTTTGGCACGAATGGTTTTTCGGCCTATCCCAGCGATTCCTCTCCATTCCGGAACCGAAGTTACTACTATTAGCCGGTGTTGATCGCCTGGACAAAACACTGACTATTGGACAGATGCAAGGTAAGTACATTTTGTTCTGCTCTCAGTTATACTGAATACTATATGCGACAGCGAGTAGCAATCTAAATCTGCACAGCCGTCGCATTATAATCAAAAATGTTAGAAAAAAGTGTCTGCAATCCGTGGTAATCTAATCGCTCTTCAAGTTCTTATGTAGCATTTTAAAATGTCTGACTTACAGCTTCACTGGGTTCACAATTGCAATGCTAGTGTTCAGTCGTTCTCTGAATCGAATGGCGGTAGAATATACATCCACAAAAAATTGTTCTGCTACATAGATTCGGCCTCCACGACTTGTTCTGGCAGACTCTTCCAAACATTTACCACTCACCGTTCGTAGCACAGGGGCTGAGGAAGTCGTTTTATATCCGGCACCATAAGCTTGTACTTGTGTTTGCGTGTGCCGCATGGCGTTCGTAAGCGAAGCAGCGGTCTCAACATGGGGAAGTCACCGAGGTATAATAAATGGTAGGTCAGTATGACATCGACCCGTAACCGAAGATAGGACAAGGTGTTCAGTCCTAATTTCTCTCACCGGTCTTCTCACAGTAATCCTCGCAAACTTGGAATGAGCCGGGTAGTGATGTGTTGGATCAGTTTGACCTACTGTGCTTCGCCTCGTGTGAGTGAACGGTACACAGGGGTGCCATACTCGAGTACTAGTTTTATGATGGAAGAGAAGTGATTAGCAGCGATCTTTTCAGACCCAGTACACAAGCTGCGTTTGATTGATCAAACTATGCACAGTCCGTTACGATATAGCCTGCTAGCATTGTCAACAGACTTCAAATCGCAACACGAGAGTAGACCTAGGTCATTCACGAAAAGTGTGAGAGTAGCGGATAGCCATCAGTGTAAGTTGGGCCGTCACTACCCTTCTCCAGGCTCATAATTACCGACTTGGTTGAGTTGACCTGGGAGGCGGACTTCCGCAGACCACATGGAGAGGCGGTTGAGGTCTTTCTAAAGTAGACCGTTGTCGTCGGGGGTGCTAATGACTCACCACATCTTCAGGTTGTCCGTAACAGGGCACACGGCGATCAAAGAAGCTTAGGTATATCATTGATGTGAATTAGGAACAAAGTGGACCCCAGAACCGTGCCTTGGGGAACTTCACGTGCAGAGGGATACCAGTCAGTTAGTTGGCCGTCAACCTGTACCATCCACTTTCGTCCAACTGGTGCAGTGGTCCACCAACACCTTACAAACTCAGCTGGTGGAGGAGGACCCCACGGTTTACCATGTCGAACGATTTACGGAAATCGATGTAGATTACGTCGACAAATCTCTCTTGTTTCATTAACTCGTCACCAGCAGGTTGGGAATGCATGAGCAGCCTAGCATCAAACTGTGTTGTGCGGGTGTCAATAATCTTCTCGGCAACCTTGGCCAAATATAGGTGTAAGACAAATCGGCCTGTAGTTGTCCACTTTGCTGGAATCATTGCATTTCGGAATCGGCTTTGCCACTAAGTATATCCAGTCGTACGGCAATGGGCCTTCGGATAGTGACCTGTTGAACAAATCAGTCACAGCAGGTGAGATGATGACCGATAGGGACTTGAGAATCAGTGGATGAAGTCCGTCAGGATCAGCAGGTTTGTTGCCCTCAAGCTTGGCGAGTAGTTGATGCACTTCTTCTACACTGCACATCAGACTGACGTGTTCGGTAAGCGCGGTACACGTCGAGCTCGTTACAGACACCTGGTCACTTGTAAAGATGGAAGCAAAATGTGCCGCCAACGCTGACGCACGCTCAGTTCTGGACGTCACGGGCTGTCCGTCCGAGTTCTCTAACACTGGCAGATCACCTGCAAGATTGAGGCGCCTCTTCTTTTAAGGAAATATTCTTTTTGGAACGGTCTTTGCAGCGATTGCGTTCTGCTTTTCGAAATTCTGGCGCTTACTCCTTTTTACGTTATTGTAGGTATTTCGCTCTTATACACTTCGTAATTATTGGTAGAGCTAGAGAGGAGGAGTTTGTTCCATAAATTGGTCCCCTGCCGAACCATTTTACCATACTCCTTGTCGATCCAATGCTGCTTAACCGGTCCAACTTTCCTACACAGTAATGTCAACCTCTCGCTAATCACCGTCCAACAGTCTTCCACAGACGCGGCTTACGTTCAACCGTCGAAGTTAGTTTTCCAGTAGTTTTAAGCTGGCTGTAGCATACGGGATTGTGGTAAAGATAGATTCATGCTGACTATGATCACTGAGTGATTGCTTGTTGCTAGGGGCTCCAGAACCTGAACGTCACACATCTGTTGTTCACAGCTTGTTAACATCAAGTCTAAGCACAACGGAGTTGAGCGCAGTGTTCTTCGATTCGGTTGCCATATGTGTTGCGCTGCTCCTCTTTTAAGTATTAAGTCCACGAACTTTGTTTCGACCTCGCAATGTCATGGCATACGTGCAACTTCAGGCCAGCGTATCTGAGGACAATTGAAAACACCCATGGGTAGAAAATGTGGATGGCTCATGTGGCTACGGAGATGCAACAGCCTATTTTAACAACGCCTCAGGGGACTGTGATAAAATGCACCCACGAGCAACTCCACGCGTCTGAGATGGATCGAGCACCACAACTGCTCATACTGCCCATCATCGCTTCTGTAGACGCTCATAACTCTCCCACACAGAGAGGACCGGATGTAGAGCAAGACGCCACCTCGGGCAGTCGATAGCCTATCGCAGAAGAACTATGAGTAGCCACTGAGTTCAATTTCCTGGGTAATCACCTCAGAATTCAGCCGCGTCCCTGCGAATCCCATTACGACTGACTGCTCAGATGCAACGAAACGCGCTTATTCATAAGACTATACATGTTAGTAAAAGCTACACGCAAGCCGCAGCAGGAACCACTAGGCGTGTCTGAAGCATGAGCAGCCTGTTTACTCTGCCTAGTGGAATCGTGGAAACGACCCGTCAATTTGCGACACGGGGCTTTGTTTCCCGATCATCATTTCGTTTCTTCAGCTGGATGATGGCAGACTTGAGTCGTTCTTTATCCACCAGATTTAAGTCTGGACGAACATGGAGCTTTAGACAATTCAACCCATTTAATCGGAACAAAATCAGCTTCCGACTGGCATCTTCTACAATGGTGATTCCCATTGGTCGACCTTTTTGATCACCTTTCCAAGACGGGTACTTTGCCTTACTTTCAACCCGTCCTCCACCACGTTGAGGAGTATATCAATTTGGATCTGTAAAAACTCGACGTCATGGTCGTAGCGGAACTGGGGAGTTGGATCACTCGACTCAGCCGCGTGGAAAAGCACGAGGTGAAAACAGTTGTCCTTGCGTTTCACGTGGTCTGACGTGCCGTTGATTTGCAGCAGCTGAACTCTTTTCATTTTCTGCCTTTTCTTTCCCTTTACGTTCCACGGGTCTTCAGTACACAGGCCTTCACACGCCGGGATATCTGTGCCTATAGTATACAGCACAGGTAAAATATTCGTGTCAGGTGTAACTGGGCTGCTAGTAACTGCTGGACTTCGTGCCGGTGAGTTCGCACGGGACGAACACGAAAGCTTATATTAAACCTGGGGGCGCTGCGGGCCAGCTTGTTGGGTCAAACACACGGAGCTGCTCGCAACGGAATGATTCACTCTACAAGGCGTTTTGCGATTCTGCATTACTTTCTCCGGCTGTATCTCGTTTCGGCAATTCTTACACAAGATTTAAACGAAAACATGTTGGATTTCACGAGAACACCGAAAATGCTCAACCTATAATCCAATGCTTGAAATGTGGACTTTAACGTGACACATGTGCATACATGTGCTCGACTTTCATCCTCCCTGAAACAACAATCCAAGGTGATTGTTTCGGCATTGTGAGAATTTTGAGACCAAGATGGAGGCCATTTGTGGAGCACAAGGCGATAACAAGATCTTCGAAATCAGACAGAGATAACAAGTATTTAAGGTTGAGAAATCCGAAATCAGTAATGAAACTTAATGCTATTGTGATTTCCACGAAATACAATACACGAAGAAATCTAACAAGGGCTAATCTTGTTAACATAGCCAGGGAAAATCAACGGTAGTCGGCTAACCGCAGTCAACTTGTAAGTGTTTCTTTGTTATACCAACTAGCCGATTTCATTCCCTTGGCTGTAGTCCGTTACATGTACCGGTTGCGCTCCTGTTGTGTTCGGCGACTTGTTTCGGGGACAACTTCGTAAGATTCTTCTTTGCAATTGATACAGCTGACCGCACGGCATAGTTAATGCATGGTAGCGGAAAACTGTTTTGTTGTACTTCGGCTTCCCACTCTTGCTTTGTTGGTCGATCATGCTGAATGGCACTTGTGCTACTTCTTGTGATTGTTCTTTCTCATTTTTAAATCAGCGAACGCATTTTCTCTAGTACTGAATCCGTTTCGACTTCAGTGTTTGGTCATTTTTGTCTGAACATCCTCAGTTGGTTTGCCCTTTGGCACCATTTATCTCCATGGAACATTAGTTTTTTATGTTCTCCTTAGCTTTCTCATACTTTAGTGTTTTTTGACGTCACGATTCATCGTACTTTTATCTCCATCTAGCCTCCCTTTATATCTGCAAATATCTGTTATCTTCTGTGCTCTTCCCGCTCTATCCCTTTCTTCTAATTCGTCTGTCTTCTCCTGACAACTTAGTCCCTTTTTTCTCGAGCCCTCCACATCTTGACGGATCAGCACTTCAACCTGGTATACTGATTTGCTTGTTCCCTACTCCGTAACCAATTGTGTTCTGCTGAGTTGCACTTTACAAGTACCCGTAGTGCCACTCACAACAGACCGGTGAATGTTCACAGATTAGACAAGCCCGGTCTCATTATCTTCCTCATAAGAGGTTGGAAACAGCTCCATGGCCATTCCCACTCAAACTGAGCCATGAGAAGCAACGGTGGATGGTTTGTTAGCTCTACTTGATTGGTACGCATCACGAGCGCCACGCGTTGTCTTAGATGGTACCAGAACAAATAGTTACTTTTTTGTTGGTTACCACACCGT